AGTGCTCCCATCTAGAGCAGTCCCTCTAAAATACCCAGTAGAGGTGGTTTGTGGGAGGCAAAATCCCTCAACTTTTGCTTGTCTGGGAATTTATTCCATCCTTCTAATTTAAATGATAATCGTGCTGGATACAGTATCCTTGGTTCAAGGCCTTTCTGTTTCATTGCATTAAATATATCATGCCATTCTCTCTGGCCTGTAAGGTTTCTGTTGAGAAGTCTGATGATAGCCTGATGGATTTTCCTTTCTAGGTGACCTTTTTCTCTCTCTGGCTGCCTTTAATACTCTGTCCTTGTCCTTGATCTTTGCCATTTTAATTATTATGTGTCTTGGTGTTGTCCTCCTTGGGTCTCTTCTGTTGGGAGTTCGGTGTGCTTCCGTGGTCTGAGCAACTATTTCCTCCCCCAGTTTGGGGAAGTTCTCAGCAATTATTTCTTCAAAGACACTTTCTATCCCTTTTTCTCTCTCATCTTCTCATATCCCTATCATACAAATATTGTTCCCCTTGGATTGGTCATACAGTTCTCTTAATGTTCTTTGATTCCTAGAGAGATCCTTTTATCTCTGTCTGCCTCAGCTTCTCTGTATTCCTCTTCTCTGATTTATATTCCATTAACAGTCTCTTACACATCTTCCAGTCTGCTTTTAAGACCTTCTATTGATTGTTTCATTTCTGTTTTCTCCGTCCAGACTTCATCCCTTCACTCTTGCATATTTCTCTGCAGGTCCGTCAGCATGGTTATGATTTTTATTTTGAATTCTTTTTCAGGAAGGTTGGTTATATCTATCTCACCAGGCCCTCTCTCTGGGGTTGTCTGAGTGATTTTTGACTAAACCATGTTCTTCTGCCTTTTCATGGTGATAGAAGTGGTTGCACACAGGTGGCGCATGTGTCAGCCAGAAGAACAATGTCCCTTCCTGCTTGCTGGTCGCCTTGCCCTTCTCCGCTGCCTGTGTGGGTTATCCGCATGCAGTGAGCAGTCTGTGGGATAATCACTTGAGCTGCCACGGGCAGGGTGGCCCTCAGGATAGCCTAGCACACTGCAGGGGGTGTCAGCCACACCAGTTGTATTCTCCTGCGAGAACGGTGCCCCGTTGTGCCTTCTGGACCTTGCTCCAGCTTCCTCTGTCTGTGCCAGGTAGTTGCGTGCCGGCTGCAGCCTCTGGGTCTGTCCTGGTTAGGTGCATGCTGGGAGCAGACTCTGTGTGCTTACTCTGGGCAGAGCTGTTCTCCAGGTGCTCTGCAGCTGTCGTGGGTGTGCTGGTTTGCTTGCCGCACTGGCAGTGGAGAATTAATGGCCAGCTGCTCTTTGCCGTGAGGGGCTTCAGTGGTGTGTTACCCCCCAGGGGATCAGGGGCCCTGAAGTTACTCAAGATTCCTAGCCTACTGGGCTGAGTGTGCCAGGATGATTTTGTCCAGCTGTTAAGCCCCTGTCCCTTTAAGACTTTTTAAAAGCTCCTACTTTTCTTTTTTCCCAGGGGAGCCGGCTGTGGGGATCCACCTGCTGTCTCTGTCTCAGATTTTACTTTTCTGTTTCTGTAATATCCATATCCAGCACACCATGCAATGTGTGTCTGTGCTCCCAGTGAAGAGTACTAGGGCTGGTTATTTAGCAGTCCTGTGCTTCCACTCCCTCCCCACTCTGATTCTTTTCCTTCTGCCAGTGAGCTGGGGTTGGGGGAGTGCTCCAGTCCCCCCAGATCATGGTTTTGTATCTTACCCTTTTCGTGAGATGCTGAGTTCTTGCAGATGTAGATGTAGCCTGGCTGTTATACTGTATCTTCTGAGTAGTGTATTTGTTGTCTGTCTTTTAGGAGTAGTGTATTTGTTGTATTTTCAAAAATATATATGGTTTTGTGAGGAGATTTACACCACCCTACTCATACTACCATCTTGAGCCCTTCCAATAACACCTTATTTTTAGATAGATAGGAGCCACTCTACATTTTCCAGTTGATGCCCACCGCTTACACTCCCTAATGCCTTCATCAGCACCCCCTTTGAAGTGATTGTCTCCTTGCCAGCTATTAGCACCTCTGAAAATTTCTCTTCCTCCAGGATTTCGTCGGAAAGAATTTCGTGGCAAATTGGCTATTGCCATTACAGCAAATTTTATTAACCGAAATACAACAGCGGAAGCCAAAGTTGAAGAGATTAGTGGTGTGGCTTTTATATTCAACCAGAAATTTTTCCAGGAACTGAGGGAAGCCACAGGTTGGTATAGATGCCTCCAAAGCGATGATAGAAATTGAAAGGACTGCTTTTGGTTTTTCTTGAAGGGCTGGGTGGAGGGGTGCCCGTGGTCTTACTGCTGGGCCCCTCACCCCTCCACTCTTTCTTCCTGCTCATACTTTGTTCTTAGCAGGATGCTTTCCACGTCACTGTCCCCCATTCTAGTTTCCTTATCCATGATACAGTTACAGTGACTGGGCTGTTTCGCATGCGGTTTTTGTTTGTTTTTAACTTTGTTCTGTCCCCTGCCAGCTCTTTTCCAGCCTCTCCCACTCCGCTTTGTCCTGGAGTGATGGTGCCTGGTGCCATACCCGGTTGGTTGGAAGTTCTCTGGTTGAGAACATGACTTTTGGGCTCTGAGAATATATAGTTGACCCTTGAACAACATGGGTTTGAACTGCTTAAGTCCACTTACATGCAGATATTTTTCAATAAATATATTGGAAGATTTTTTAGAGATTTGTGACAATTTGAAAAAACATTTTCTCTAACTTTATTATAGGAATACAGTATATAATACATAGAACATATAGGATATGTGTTAGTTGTTTGTATTATTGGTAAGGCTTCTAGTCAACAGTAGATTATTAGTAGTTAAGTTTTGGAGGAGTCAAAAGTTATATGTGGATTTTTTAATTTATTGAGGGGTGGTGCCCCTAAACCCCACATTGTTCAAGGGTCGGCTTTAGTCTTCTTCCTGAGTCCCAATTTGGGCTTGGGGTAAACCACATGCTAGACAGGAATGAGTTTGTTGTTTGATATCATTTGAATAGATTAACTTAGATGTTTTTCTGTAACAAAAATGTGCAACAAATTCCAATCCTCTGTTTTCTAAAACAAGATTTCTCTCCATTACATCTGTTTTTTAGATTGAATGGAGGGTCAGTAGCTCACTCTCCACTTCCATTCATCTAGTTGTCATTCCTGTAATTAAGAGTCTAGGTGATTCCCCTGCTGCCTGGGGACCCATCGGTGGGGTTTCACCTGAGAACGAATCCAGACCCGCTCACTAGCAATTATTAGCCTTTCTTCTTCCCATCCTTTTCTGCTTACTATCCATCATGGTTTTTTGGATGACTTAGGGTTGTCATGTGAATTGTGAAGCAATGAAGGGTAAACAGATCCCCTGCCTTGTCAGGACAAGAACATGCAAGGAGTGAGAGGTGGGCTCTGATGTCTTCCATACTGTCATGCTGTGTGTGTGGGGTTCACACCCTGGTGTCAGTGAGCCTGTGTGCAGGCTTGCTGGCCTGCCTGAATGCACCTTCATCTTCACAGCCCCGTGTGCTCACATTTGTTTTCTGGTTGCAGGTATAGATTTGGAAAACATCGTCTACTACAAAGATGATACACACTATTTTGTCATGACAGCTAAAAAGCAGAGTTTACTGGACAAAGGGGTGATAGTGCACGTGAGTAATGGATTTCTTTCAAGCCTTCTTCAGGTTGTACTAATGTGCTCACCGAGAGAAAATTTTATTGTCTGATGAGTTTTTCCTTCAAGGGAATGCAGATGAGCACCTAACTCATCTCCTGAGGACATGTGTTCCTCTAATGTTTTTTAATTTGCATTTAAAAATCTTTATGGGAAATGAGTTTTTCCTTCAAGGAAATGAAGACGAGAACCTAACTCATCTCCTGAGGACATGTATTCCTCTAATGTTTTTTGATTCGCCTTTCAAAATCTTTATGGGAAATGTCAAATGTAAACCAAAGTAGAGAGCATCATCTAGTGAGCCCCCATATGCCCCTTTCTGCTTTAGCAGTCACCAGCACATGGCCACCATTGGGTCAGTGATGCTGACCCCATCCCACCCACTCCACCACTGGGTTCTTCCAAAGGAAATCTCATATATTCAGTTTGAATTGAGGTGATTTGGTTTGTGCTTATAGTGAATTTCATAAATGGCTGATTACTGGGTGCTTAGTAGGTCCTTGTTTAGGAGGGGATGATATTGGGAAGGTGGTTTGACCAAGAAGCAGTGATTGGTATTTATGGGAGCCTGGGAAGCTTCTGCCTTTACTACATATTTCGCTGTCAGAGGTCCAGGGAACACTCGCTGGGGCAGGGTGTATTTAGGCTCTTTGTGAGCAAACAGTAAGGGCCTTCTGTCTGTCCTTAGCCAGGCCCATGCCAGCCTTTTTTCAAGGTGACTAGTCATATGACATTCCCTAGCATGGTGGCCTGAATGAGGTCAGAGGACCACAGGGTGGGTGGCCCCTCATCCGGGAGCTTCTGAAGGTTTAGTGGTCTCTGTGTGTGGGAATTCTGCCCCCATGTGAAGAGATGGATAAAAGGGGCACCAGATGTGCTGATTCAGGCCTCTGCTGACCTGCACAGCTGCACTTCAGGGTGTCTTTTTTCTCTGCAGGATGACAATGAGACAAGTCACTGTAGTCTAAACTGCACCCACTGTTGCCTTGCCAGAGCAGGTGGGGCAAGCTGAGGAGCATCTCCTGCAGCCCTGCCTCCTTTCCAGGCCAGCACCTGCCTCTGTCCCTCAGCCTTGTGCCTTACGGACAGAAAGAGGAGTGGGACAAAGCAGCTGGTACAGCCCATTCTGCCAAAAGCACAAGCAAGATGAATTTAGTTAGATGCTTTATCAATAAGAAATAGCCAGTGAACTACCAGTATGCCTTGGGACTAAGTAAGACTTAAACCTACCATCCTAGCAGAACTATCGTTATCAGTTGAAATTATGTAGGAATAGTCTAGAATGCCAAGACCTGATTTACTTTTCCTTCTTATTTCTTTTTTTTAGAGGGCACAGGTCATGGCTTCTGTGTGCCCTGTTGAATACTAAACCCATTGTGGCCACTTACTCAATGTTGAACAAACACTGTTTCCAGGACCAGCTTGAGTATTTGTGTTTTGGCTCTTAATGCCTTGTAGTGGGAGCTGAAAGTACCATCCAGGACACTTGGAAATCATAGGCCCCACTGTAGGAGAATAAAGACTCGGCTCAGCATGTTAGAAACCTCCACAACAGAAAAGGAATTTTTGGTCCTTTCTGTGGAAGGCCCTTTTTCTCCTCATTTTTTTCTTCTTTGGTGGGTTTCTTTGGAGACTTTCAGAATCTGTAATATTTAAAAACCTTTTTTCCATGTTCAGTGTCTTCCTCGCAGCCCCTGGCCTGCTGTTACTCCTGCCTCCACATCTTCTCGGCCTTGAAGCTTCTGGGCTCTTCCTTTGGGGCTGATGAGTTAACAAGGCTGAGTGCTTCAAGTGGTCCCAGTCCAAAACCTGTTTGCTACCCAGGAGATGGTCACTGATAATAACATAAGCTATAAAACGCCTTTACACTACCGGGACACAGTATCATCCCATAAATTATCTCACTGAGCATTCAGATCAGCTTCATGCAGTGACGGCAGGATCAAGAAGTACTGACTTGTTCCAAGTAAACGGAAAAGCCTCAGTTGTGTGTTTAGGGACAAAGCCTATGCACTTTCAGAAACAGCCACCTCCCTTTTCATTTTAATTTGTGTAAAAGACTTATTTGGAATGTGAGATCACTTTACGGGGAAGGGAAAGGCTGTGAAAGCAGGTAAGCCTAGCAAGTCCCTACCTAGGCTTTCCCATCAAGCCTCTTCTCTCTGGAGACAGGACTATGCCGACACAGAGCTCTTGCTTTCCCGGGAGAACGTGGACCAGGAGGCTCTGCTGAACTATGCCAGGGAGGCAGCAGACTTCTCCACCCAGCAGCAGCTGCCGTCCCTGGATTTTGCCATCAATCACTATGGGCAGCCTGACGTGGCCATGTTTGACTTCACTTGTATGTATGCCTCCGAGAACGCAGCCTTGGTGCGGGAACAGAATGGACACCAGTTACTGGTGGCTCTGGTAGGGGACAGCCTCCTCGAGGTGAGTTCTGAGTTGGCAGCATTTGATGGTAGAGGCAATAGCAGGGCGGCAATAATAATAATTAGAACCAAATCTGGTCATCCCAGGTGTGAAGTGAGAGTCCAAGAGTGGCGCAGCACCTGTGAGCTCCCCGCGGGGCATCCCAGCAGGAGGTCGCGGGGACCCCAGGCCCTGGGAGCCTGACTTGCTGAGTGTGGGTGGGGAGTGCCCCTTTGGGAACAGATTGTGAAGTAGAGAAACCAGCATCTGAGTGACTACCAGAACTGCTTTCAACAGCAAACTCTTTCTTTGTCCCTAGTTTCCATCTTTTAAAAGGTAATTTGTTTTAATTCTTTATTTTCTGTCTCCTTCTTAGCCTTTTTGGCCAATGGGAACAGGAATAGCCCGGGGCTTTCTCGCAGCTATGGACTCTGCCTGGATGGTACGAAGTTGGTCTCTAGGAGCGAGCCCCCTGGAAGTCCTGGCAGAAAGGTACAGGCAGAAGCCGGGCGCCTTCCCTTCAGACACAGAGAGACAATCCAGGTGCTCTCTGGGCAGACAGCACATTCTTCCTCCCTTCTCATGCACTTCCTCTCTTAACTAAAGGTGTTTCCATATTTAAGAGAGGAAAAGCGGGATATTTACTCATAAAGTCATAGAAGCTTATTGAAGTGCTCTCCTCTTACCCCTTTCCAGATTAAATTTATGATTGACATGGTGTCTGAATCTTTGTGTACCATTGAAGGATGAGTCCTTTACGATAGTCACATGAACAAATACATAAAAATAGCACATTAAATCCTCTTGTTCTTAAGCTAGAAAAACTTATAATGACATCTGTGGTAGTGGGGAACACATACTAACATAACTGAAGAAATTGAAACTGACTTTGAATTCAAGAGAAAACACCAACTGCTTGTAAACATTTTTCAAGGTCCCAAATGTCAGATACTTTGAAGCAGATTACTGAAAATGAGGTAAGAATCCTAGGATTTGCTTTCTGATCATGAATAAATACCTTGACTAGAAGTAGATAAACAGGATTTCCTAGATAAAATTGGTGGTCGATAACATTTTAAATCTGTTACTTAAGTACTCCGGGTAAATTTGGTGACAGATTCTTCTTTCATCTGTGACTTACTAAAAGAATATTAAAAGTTAAATATTGGCATACTTGAAAAAAACAAAATGAAACTCTGCATTAGTTGCCTTTTAAATCAGAGTGAGGCTTTTTATCCCGGCACACAATGATGTACTTGCTCTTTCTGTTGGCCCTTAACAATCCGGGGCCTTTGGGAGCAGTGAGGTGGTAAGGAAGGGAAGCAAGAAGCAAGGGCCGATGGAGAATTGGAGGAAACTGGTCAAGGATGAGGACTTGTTATGTCCTTCAGATAATTTGGAGGACTCTCAAAAAAATAGAAATAATTGTCAAAGGAGAGGGAGATGTCACTGCCCTGAGTAAATTGTTATATGTTATTGCAGGGAGAGCATTTATAGGTTGCTGCCTCAGACCACCCCTGAGAATGTGAGTAAAAACTTCAGCCAATACAGCATAGACCCTGTCACCCGGTATCCCAATATTAACGTCAACTTCCTCCGGCCAAGCCAGGTAAGAGCCTTCTTGTCAGCTACTGTCAGCTACCTGTATCTGGGTGCGCTTTCAGGACTAGTCATACTTCTGCAGTATTAGAATGTGCCTGTTGGTATTGAATACACAGTACCTCCTTTCATGATCCAAGTAGATGCCTCTGTGCCTTGGCTGGAGCTGGTAATATGTCCCATCTACAGACTGAGCAGCCAAGGCAGAGGGGTGTTGAATAACTCACCAGAAGATGAGATGTGACAGAGATGGCGGATCCAGGACTCTTCCCATGTGTCCTAGTCCGCATTGTGTGCCATAGGAAAGAGCGCTTGTACCCTGGCCAGGAGATGTGGCTTCCACTCCTTCCATTCACATTGTTGCACTGATACTTGTGACTGGGACAGGTCCTTTCACATTCTCAGAGCCTCCATCTCCTCATCTGTGAAATGGTGATCACGATCCCCACTGTTCACAGGTTCCCCATGAGGGCAAATGACATGTCAGAGAACTTGGAAAGACAGGCCACCACCTATAAGTGAAGATACTGTGGGCTGTGTTTTCTGTACTCCTGAGTTGTTTCTCAGCATGTCCAAAGCCACATCATGGCATTGACAGTGACATTTTATAAAGCAGCATAGTCCCACATGGCCCCACAATTTTTAGAAAGCAGCCCATTCAACATACTGCTTGTGTTCTAGTGTGATTTTTATTAACTTTCTTACTGAAGTGTACACCTTTAGGCCTTCTGTATTTTTGTGTGGTAAGTTCATAAGGGGCTCCTGAAGCCCGGTCCAGTAGAGACCCTCAGAGGGGACCCCCGCCTGCCCTGTGGCTGAGCAGCCATTTTTAACACATCTTCTTACAGTTAATGTGTGCTTATTTCTATGTAACTCCCCCCTTTCCAGAAAGGACCCCAAGGCTGTCATCATAGCCTCTGTCGAAGCTCTGCCTAACCCGCTCTCTCAGTTTTTCATCTCAGTGATGAAAGTGGGGAGTTGTAACCTGGTGCTTGATTTTCCTTCTTTATGGCTCCTTAAATTTCTGCCAGGT